CCCTGGCTCGGCAGTCTCATCGCACTGTATTCCGTTTCTGACTTGATATTGCGGGGCTGAGTGTCGCCCATTTTCTTTTCGGCTTCGTTTGGAGTGCCAAGTACTGATGTCGTTCACGGACTTGTGTTGATTCGGCATGCCTACGCCATCCTGGCTCGGCATTTCTCATCACAGATGCCTCAGCTGCGCTAGGCTATGCTGTGCTGTGCTGCGCTATGCTATGATATGCTATGCTGTGCTATGCTATGCAGTGCTGCGCTATGCTATGATATGCTATGCTGTGCTATGCTGTGCTGTGCAATGCTGCGCTATGCGTTGCTATGCTAAGCTATGCTATGCTAACAGTACTACTACTACTGCTACTGCTACTGCTACTACTACTACTACTACTACTACTACTACGGCTACTACTACTACTACCACTACAGCAACTACAGCTACTACTACTACAACAACAACTACTACTACTACTACTACGACTACGACTACAACTACTACTACTACTACAACTACGACGACGAAGATTACTAACTACTACTACTACTACTGCTACTGCTGCTGCTGCTACTACTACTACTACTACTACCACTACTACCACTACTACCGCTACTGCTATAACTGCGACGATGAGGAGAAGGAGGAGGACGGCGTTTACCGTTACTATTAATATTGCTCTTCTCGGGGCTCCAACTCCTAGGTAGGGTCGCTCTGGGATGCGTTGTATGTTAAGCTCGCGTGCGTTCCGAAACTTGGAGGCATCTTGGGGCCCGCTTGGGATTCTCTTGGGATTCATACGGTGGGGCTGCGTGTCGCCCATTCTCTTTTCGGCTTCGTTTGGAGCGCCACTTTCATACTTCAGTCAAGCCTTGGTGTTCGACTTCGACATGCCCAAGCCACACTGGCTCGGCACGTGCCATTCCGAATGCCTCAACCACCCTGGCTCGGCAGTCTCATCGCACTGCATTCTGTTTCTGACGTGACATTGCGGGGCTGAGTGTCGCCCATTCTCCTTTTCGGCCTCGTTTGGAGTGCCAAGTACTGATGTCGTTCACGGACTTGTGTTGATTCGGCATGCCTGAGCCATCCTGGCTCGGCATTTCTCATCACAGATGCCTCGGCTGCGCCAGTCTATGCTATGCTATGCTGTGCTGTGCTGCGCCATGCTATCATATGCTGTGCTGTGCTATGCTATGCTATGCTGTTCTGCGCGATGCTATGATGTGATATGATGTGCTGCGCTATGCTATGCTGTGCTGTGCAATGCTGCGCTATGCGTTGCTATGCTAAGCTATGATATGCTACTAATACTACCACTACTGCTACTGCTACTGATATTGCTACTACTACTACTACTACTACTATTACTACTACTACTACTACTACTACTACTACTACTACCGCTACTGCTACTACTACTACTACTACTACTACTACTACTACTACTGCTATTACTACTACTACAACTACAACTACAACTACAACTACAACTACGGCGACTACTACTACTGCTACTACTGCTACTACTGCTACTACTGCTACTACTACCACTACTACTACTACTACTACTACTACTACTACTACTACTACTACTACTACTATTACTACCACTACTACCACTACGACCACTACTACCACTACTACCGCTACTGCTATAACTGCGACGATGAGGAGAAGGAGGAGGACGGCGTTCACCGTTACTATTAATATTGCTCTTCTCGGGGCTCCAACTCCTAGGTAGGGTCGCTCTGGGATGCGTTGTATGTTAAGCTCGCGTGCGTTCCGAAACTTGGAGGCATCTTGGGGCCCGCTTGGGATTCTCTTGGGCTTCATACGGTGGGGCTGCGCGTCGCCCATTCTGTTTTCGGCCTCGTTTGGAGCGCCACTTTCATACTTCAGTCAAGCCTTGGTGTTCGATTTCGACATGCCTAAGCCACACTGGCCCGGCACGTGCCAATCCAAATGCCTCAACCACCCTGGCTCGGCAATCTCATCGCATTGTATTCCGTTTCTGACTTGATATTGCGGGGCTGAGTGTCGCCCATTCTTCTGGTCGGCCTCGTTTGGAGTGCCAAGTACTGATGTCGTTCACGGACTTGTGTTGATTCGGCATGCCTAAGCCATTATGACTCGGCATTTCTCATCACAGATGCCTCGGCTGCGCTATGCTATGCTATGCTATGCTGTGCTGCGCTATGATATGCTATGCTGTGCAATGCTATGCTATGCTGTGCTGCGCTATGCTATGATATCCTACGCTGTGCTATGCTATGCTGTGCTGTGCAATGCTGCGCGATGCGTTGCTATGCTAAGCTGTGATATGCTACGAATACTACTACTACTACTACTACTGCTACTGTTACTGCTACTACTACTACTACTACTACTACTACTACTACTACTACTACTACTACGACTACTACGACTACTACGACGACTACTACTACTACTACTACTACTACTACTACGACTACTACGATTACTACCACTTCTACTACGACTACTACTACTACTACTACTACTACTACGACTACTACTACTACTACTACTACTACTACTACTACTACTACTACTACTACCACTACCACTACTACCGCTACTGCTACAACTGCGACGACGAGGAGAAGGAGGAGGACGGCGTTTACTGTTACTACTAATATTGCTCTCCTCGGGGCTCCAACTCCTAGGCATGGTCGCTCTGTGATAATGTTCTTTAGGTTTTGAAAGATGTTGGCCTCTTTTTTTGGGGGGTGGGGTCCTTGGAGGCCTGGGGGGGCATTTGAAACCGTCTTGAGGCCGTCTTGAGGCCGCTTGGACGCTTGCCGGAGGCTATCTTGACCCATCTACCGCTATCTTGGGCCATCTTGGAGGCCATCTTGCGCTCTCGGAGGCCCTCTTGGAGCCATATTGGGCCATCTTGGACGCTGCTATGGGTCCGCCCCCCCCCCCCCCCCCCCCCTCCCCCCCCCCCCCCCCCCCGTCCAAACGCAGGGGGGGGGGGGAGGTAAACCTCCCGAGCAGGGAAAGGCAGGGGGTTGGAACGGGAAACGACCTGGACCACCTGCGCCCAGAGGGCTGGTGAGAATGTGCTGGGGGGGCTGGGCTGGGCTGGTGGGATGCGCTGGAAGACAGAAGCGCTTCGGTCAAGGGCTACGTCGACGTGGGCTCCTTCGTCGCTGACGTGGAAATTTTCAATTTCAAGATGGCCGTCAGAGACGAACTCCTACATCAATGGTTGCCAGCCTCTGGGCTGAGGCCCGCCCAGTTGTCCCAGATCCTAGACGTCATGCGCGATTTCGGCACCGTTCGCAAGTGGGCGGCGCCGTGCCCGGACGAGACCCCAGGCAGCAGTGATGCGACGTGGATGGTTGGGCGAAGTTTTGTAGTCTTGGCGACCATCGAGTTGTTCGAGGAGCTGATCTACTCCAACGGGTGGGACGGGAGGTACACAGACGCAATTAAGTCCAAGTTGCGCGTGACAGACTTCCTCGACTACGAGTCGGTTCGCACGGCCCTCGACGAGGTTGGCAACCAGATTAAGGCAGAGAGGTTGCAGCAGCAGGGCAGTGCGGATAGTGCAGCAGACGGGGCAAGTGGTCCTTCGAGCGGCGCTGCCCCACCGCCGCCACCAGGCACTGGCATCGCAGCAAGCACGACTCCCGGAGCAGCCAACGGTAACGCCACGACTGAAGGCGTCGACAACCTCAGCGACACGGATAAGGACCACTGGGAGCGCTACATCGACAAATTGATTCGGACGTATGTGCAGCTGATCCCAGATCAGAAGACCAACTCGGCCCTCGAGCTTCTGATCAAGCAATGCCCACTCGCCAACGTCGCTGGAGATCCAATAGGGCTTGTCTTATACTATTGCGATGTCAAACAATCGGGTGAACCACTCACGCGTCCTGAACTGAGGGTTGCGCCACTTCGTGACACGTACCATCGCTTGGCGCGATCGATCCTCAACGCTCGTGCTCCTGCCGGTCAGGGCGGCTTCCTCAGGGTTGGAGAAATTGCCATCTTGCTGGGCGGAGGCCGCAAGGGCAACCAGGCCAAGCTCTTAGCCCCGTGGAAAGAGGGCACGGCAAAGGATACTAAGAAGAAGGACGAGGACGACGAGGGCGCCGAGTTGGACGGCGATGACGAGGAGGAAGACGGAGACGAGGATAAGCCCAAGAAGCCTGGCTTCGTGCCCCCTCCCTCTTGCAGCTGGCCTACACTCAAGAGGGCATCACCGCCCGCCGCAAAGTGCTGCGAGCCACGCCAGGCAGCGCTCACCAAGTGGAGTGGTGCCACGCGGTCGCGAACTCCAAGATCAGTCTTCCTGAGAGGCAGAGGCTCCACTACGAAGGCTCGACTGCTGGCGACTTGATTCGCCTCCAACCCTGATACATCGAAGGGCTGGCAGCTCACGCGGGGTAGTTAAAAGATCTTATACAACAAGAAAAACTTGATTGCAGTTGGTGGGGAGACCAAGGGGGGCGATGCACCTATGACTGAGAAGAAAACAGATAGTGCCATCGTGCCCGCGTGCTACCGTCCGATGCCGCTGCTGTTTTACTTCGAGATGAACAATGCGTTCTTCGCGAAGCTGGTGGTGGACATTACTCCAATCTCTGGGGTCTTCGCGTGGGCTTGCCTGTTGTCTCGCGTGGGCTACGTGGGGATTTGCTTCGCGCAGGAGCACGCCGAGATGCTCTTCGAGTACTTGAAGGACAAGCTGAAGGAGGAAATGTCAGATGCGACTTCGAAGCTATACAACAGAGACTACGCCAAGGCGATCGGCAAGCTTGAGACGCCAACCGAGGAGCATGTGAAGACGGGCCGTGGTGGTCGCGGCCGTGGTGGTCGCGGCCGTGGCGGCAGGGGCCGTGGCCGCCGCGGCCGTGGCAGGGGCGATGATGTTGGCGCTGCTGAGCTTCAGCCAGATGACGCTGACGGTGCTGATGTGCCTCCAGTGCCGGAGGGGGAGGCCGGGACCGCTGGCGCTGAAGACGTAGTAGAAATAGGCGGCGACAATGAGGATGAGGTGTGGGGCCCGTTCCAGGAGTCATGAGGGCTTTACTTTCAGGCCCGAGTAATCGTGCCAATTGAGAGATAAGTCAGGACAGTGAGCGAGCAATCAAGCACGAATGGCACGATTACTTCGTGGCGCAGCAGTCGGGCCTCTAGCACGGAGGCCGAGTTTTGCCAAGCATGGATTGTATAGGCAGCTGCGGGCACGCTGTCGCGTCCAGCTTAGACGAGTGGCTGTTTCGGCCAAGCGGCAGTCCGAGGACTGCAGCCGCATACCTATGTGGTTGCCACGTGCACACCAGATAGAGAAACACGCCCGTACTGCTCAGCCTATCGTTATCCAGTCCAGACCCTCCCCATGGGCTAAGCAAGAGTAGGAATCTGAATAATCAAGATAACGTAGAGATGAGTAGGGCCCACGCAGTGCTTACGCACATTCCGCGGCCACATCTAGGCTAGGGAGGAGAGTCGCCTCACAGATGCCCAAAACCTTATTAGGGCTCATCTTGGGGGCTCTATGGGACATCACTTGGGCCTTCATGAGCCCACCAATGGCCAGCCCCTAGCACCTCATATAGCTCCAAGGATATGGGCGCTCTTAGCCCTCCAGGGCGCCATTGAATCGGGCAGGCATTTCAAGGACGTCCTTGAGTGCGCCTTCCAGTTGTCCACTACCTATCCTCATTGCACTCCTCTCGCAGCTCGGGGACGTCCCTGAATTGGGGCAGACCTCTCCTCTCGCAGCTCGGGGGCGTCCCTGAATCGGGGCAGCCCTCTCCTCTCGCAGCTCGGGGGCGTCCCTGAATCGGGACAGACCTCTCCTCTCGCAGCTCGGGGGCGTCCCTGAATCGGGGCAGACCCCTCCTCTCGCAGCTCGGGGGCGCCCCTGAATCGGGGCAGCCCTCTCCTCTCGCAGCTCGGGGGCGTCCCTGAATCGGGGCATACCTCTCCTCTCGCAGCTCGGGGGCGTTCCTGAATCGGGGGCATTGGGGCAGCCCTCTCCTCTCGCAGCTCGGGGGAAGGGCAGTCCTCTGAACGCCCCTGAATCGGGGCAGCCCTCTCCTCTCGCAGCTCGGGGGCGTCCCTGAGCTGCGAGAGGCCTCCTGAGGAGAGGTCTGCCCCGATTCAGGGACGCCCCCGAGCTGCGAGAGGAGAGGTCTGTCCCGATTCAGGGACGTCCCCGAGCTGCGAGAGGAGAGGTCTGCCCCGATTCAGGGACGTCCCCGAGCTGCGAGAGGAGAGGGCTGCCCAAATTCAGGGACGTCCCCGAGCTGCGAGAGGAGAGGTCTGTCCCGATTCAGGGACGTCCCCGAGCTGCGAGACCGATTCAGGGACGTCCCCGAGCTGCGAGAGGGGAGGTCTGCCCCCCCGAGGTCCTCAGATAGCTTGCCAGCGGCTTCCTCGAGGCCCATGCCATCTGTGGCCAACGATGTTCTTATGACGTCTGCCCGTGAGCTGCGAGAGGAGAGGACTAAAATACCTCTCCACTCGCAGCTCAAGGACGTCCTTGAGCTGCGAGTGGAGAGGTCTTTTAGTCTGCTCCTCTCGCAGCTCTCAGGGCCCTGGCGGGGGGTCGTTGAGTTTCGCAGTGGTAGCTTACATGTTTACTGCACTTCTCGAGGGCTCGCGATTATCAGAGATTGCTCGGAGGTAGGTTACAACAGTGACCTGAGGGCTCTCTGGGCTCGGGATGCGGGCCCCGGTGAGGCCATGCCACTCCGAGGTCGGCGCAAGAGCTCCGGAGCGATGCCATTGCCTCATCATTGCCGTCATCACTCCTACTGCGTATCATCATCACCATTCATGCCATCAATCAGCACAGCTGCAGCCGCTACAGCCGAGACGCTTGCTTCGACATCCGAGCGAGTATGGGGAAAAGTGCGCCCCGCCGCCCCAGGCGACCAAAGGTCATTAAGATCGCGTCTGACTTCACAGGCCTTGATACGGCATCGGTGGCTCTGGGCCGCATGGGGGTGGACCATGTGAACATATTTTGCCGCGACACGGACTCGAATTGCAAAGCTGTCGTGGAACACCTCCACTCGCCGATGAATTTCTATGACGACGCGTTGTCCAGGCCAGCGAGCGGGGACGTCTACTCCGACATCTACGCGTGGACGCCCCCCTGCCAGAAGCTGTCCCAGATGGGCTTGCAGGAGGGAGTGGACGGAACAGATTTGGGAAAACTATTTGGACGCTCCCTCAAGTACATCGAGCGTGGCGCACCTCGCACGACCTTGTTCGAGAATGTTCCTGCGATCGAGTCGAAACGGTTCATTCCCCCATTCTCCGGGGCGTGATCAAGTTCCAGGAGAAGCACGGCTACAAGGTCTACGCGGCGAAGATCGATGCCAAAGACCACGGTCTACCACAGAGCCGCGAGAGGATGATCGTGGTCGGCATCAAGGCCACGGCCCTCAAGCACGAGTTCAGCGTGCCCGAGAAAGTGACTCCCACGCCACTCCTCACGTCAATCCTTGACAG